TGACACCCGAAGCTTCCCTTGCGAATTGTTCGTCAGACCGTTGTTAGAATTCATGAGGACTATCTAGGCCGTCACTGTATGAGACTCACTGCTAGAAAACCAGCGCCGAGCCAAGCGGCGTTTGACTGCCATTGATGTGAGATATGATTACAACCCTAATTATGAGACAAAGCCGGCAGTCCCATAGAAATACAACGCTATTTGTTTATCGATTCCGCAGTCCTTAAACGTCTGTTTCGTCTGAAAGCACCAAACATTTATGCAGAAAAATTCGGGGCACGTCAACAGTTCTTTTAAAAAATGATATTTGTGACAGAAAATACTTCAGCGGACGCTACCCACCAAAATGCACGGTGATGAATGATTAGGTCAGTAGATACTTTGGATAGACGATTGCCCTTTCCTGATCCCCAGTAAACGCTTTCCAGTCCAATGAATTCGGTAACAGATAACGTCACATACTACGGCCACAGTCCAGGTAAATACTTAACGTAGAGCGGATCTCGATCATATTTAGGACTCGACTGATCATCGGTTGTCAACGAGCCCTCACGGATGAAACAGGTAGAAACGGCAGATTACTAAAGATTCTGGAAGGCATTCTTTCGAATGAGACAAACAGCAAAATATTATGATAAATATCAAGTGGTACGCGAGAACGCAAGAGTTAAACACACTTTGTCAAAGCATGACGCTGACTAATATTTGAAACTCTCTACTAGGTTTGCTTAAGTGGTTGGATAAGGCCTGATCAGTGCAAACTTCCGAGTCGGAAAATTTTAGGATGCAATAAAAGCAACATTTAAGTCTCCTACCTCTCATGAGTCTCTTACAATACTAGTCAAGAAGACTTTTTGATAAAAATGCGTTTGCGTTTGGTAAATTCTAACCAAGCCATTACATTTGTATGAGGGAGGGAGGGGGGGGGTTAACAAGACAAGTGGGTGGCAAGAGAAATCAATTAAAGAGCGCGATTCATGCGTTTGCAGCATGGGAGTGTGAGGAGGAAGGTAACAAGAGACTGGCCGTTAGGAGACCGTATCGGTTAGGAAGAACCATGCCAAGGGAGGGGGGAGAAGAGAAGTAGTCGACCTTTGTCCGCGACAAGCGCGGAGCTGCATGAGGGACTTTCGCGCGCCTAAAACCGACTTACGCAACCTGACGGCGGCCGCTTCTAATACTGTGAACATACTTTGACCCAGTGGCCTACCATTGAGCCACGGGCCCGTTGTCCTGTCGGTTGTGATCGGGAATATCAATTATGTCAGTGGGCGCTCGCCGATCAGGTTACGGAACATGCTCGTTCCGTTGTGCCTTGGGGCTCATACTAGAACCCTCGCAGGCAGTCGCACAGCGACTAGTAGTAGATATATATGAGATGGTACCGACAAAGACAAGGGAGACCGGAATGGCCATTTCTGGCTTATTAGCCGTCATCAGCCAGTCATACCCAACCCCAAGTGTGGATCACTTGAGATTCGAACCCGGGGTTCTTTGGTCATGGAGTTTGACGCTCTACCATTGAGCCACGGGCCCGTTGTCCTGTCGGTTGTGATCGGGAATATCAATTATGACAGTGGGCGCTCGCCGATCAGGTTACGGAACATTGATGGGATCAACATCGTTGCTTACACTCCTAATTCCGCTTTAGCTCATCCATGTAAAGAGGTGTTCCTATATCCTTCTGCATGGCCGCCGAAAGCGTGAGATTACTATAACCTGACCCACAGGAGCAAGTGAAGGAGTAAATGCATTATTTGGTTTGAGATAGCTACCTATTCGACGCTGCACAAAGGTGTTTTTCTGCACTCCAAATGGGACTATTTCTACTTGAACACAACTTCATAATTGCTGCCCTTGACATCAGCACTGCAACTGAACGTACCGAATTCTTTTTTGAAATTATGGGGAATATATTTCGTCTGGAACTTCTTCCGGAAAGTGAATCAAGCAAAAATAGTTTAAACGGGAGCAGTGACGCCTTGCGCGCAAGCTATCTTACAAAAACAAGGTACCAAAATGCTTGAAGGCCTGAAGTTCTCCATAGCCTCCGAAAACTGCTGACAGCGGAGTCTTGTCTGAATGTACTTCATACAATTTGCCAATTCTTTGGCAGATTTGAACAAATAGGGGCACCGTTCGCTTACAGAGTTCAAATGCTCCTTGTACTTCATCCTACGCGGTCTGGAGTGTTCAGCATAGCCTCGAAAACGAAAACTCGTCCACGCATTCATTCTAATGTCTGTGGATCCCCAACAGTCTTACGGCAGCAGAACAACCAACGCAGCAAACTCGGTTAAAAGGAAGGACATACTAAGATTACCTTCGCATCCAGGATTGGCGTGTTTCCGCTTAAAGCCTGCAGTCCATAGCCGGAAAAGCGTGCCAAAAGCGTGACTGCCGCAAAACGTGTGGGAATCAAGAATGAGTTTTGCCTTGAGTGCAGCTATTTCCTGTTCGATGTAAAACAAAATTTAAAACGATCCGGAGGGTTTAAGGACGCTCACATAGCGGCGCACTGATGGCCAGAAGGAAAGCTTTCAATACCACTGTCGAAAGATATAGCGCAAAACGTAAGACGTTCTAAATGATATGGAGTAAGGGTAATCCCTATGTACGAGTGACAATCCATTAAGTACGAACACAGATACCAGCGATAGTACGCTAATGATGATGAAGCCTTTGACGAAGGAAGACCAGAGTACTACGCAAGACGATCTTAAAGATGAGGCAAAAAATTTGTAAGTCTTATCGTTATGCGGCAAATGACGTCACAGGAGCTAAAACGCCGGCAGTCTTAGACGTAAATTATGAGTTTTCTCGTGTACGAAAGAAAGATGCAAAAAGGTTGTCAGGTCTGCCAGGTCTACCGTTGTTAACAAATACTCTCAAAAACCCTGTGTGCTCTATAGAGCCTTTAGGTGGATGGGAAACTGGAGACTAGTTGCTAGGATGATGGGAAAATCCCACAACGTGAGCCCTGAATAAAAATCAACCCCGATAGATTCATCGAGGCACTTAGGCGGCAACCGTCATACGGGTATGTCCAGAAAACCAGACTAAAGTGTACATGGACTGTCAACAGTGTCTACTCATTCAGCGCTTGTCTGCATCAAATATACTCAGACTTGACGACCGCCTCTCAGTGTACCTCATATGTTTCTGTGGTCTGCTAAGAACAGCTGCTCCATTCAGGTGTGGAAGCAAGGCCTCTGAAAGCATTCAGGAAAAGTAAAAGGGGCAACGATAGGACATTAACAGTGCGACCGCGTGGCTACATCTTAAAACGGGACAAAACTGTAGTCGTAATTATGACGAGAACATCCCTAGAAACGTGGTACCCTAACGCAAACAGCATCAACCGACATTTCAACTTGGACACTCACTACTTAGGTCCCATAAAAGGCTCACTGAATTGAAACCACCCGTAGACGACGGTAGTTAATCCAGGTCGGTTTATGCGGGGTTTACTGGGTTTCCATGCCACTGACGAGGCGAGCGATTATTGCGTTTCTTAATAAATACCAACGTGTGATTCCTACTCCTGCTGCGCTCCATGCTGCAGATCACGCCTCCCGCGCATGACGGGGAAACTTTCAAGTTCACGGAAGAAGGCTCAGAACTCATTGCCACAAGGCGGTCGTCCTCCGATCAGGGACATTTTCCCATGCCGTGTACTCTGTCGTATGCCCCAAGACTCACTGCCTCTACTCTCTCGTGTACTCTGTACTGGTTTTGTCTGTAATCAGCACATATTTTGCGTGGGCAGTACGCATCCCGGCAATCCACCTGTTGATGTGACTTTTGTGCCCCAGACGTTCTTGTACACTTATCTCACCTCCCAATATTCATTTTGCTTGACGACGATCTCATGCAACCACTTAGAACTTTTTCTAGTGTAACTCGGTTTTGCAAAAGGATTTTATAGTTTTCATCATGCCAGCTCAGATTGCATACAGTGAGTGACCGATCTCATGAAATGTTGACTGAAATTCTGAAATGCATTTTCGATTAGGATGGATTACTTAGGCGCGGTTGTAACAGTGGCTAGCTTATGGCATAATCTTATAACCTTTTGGACTTGGCAGGATGTCAGCTTTTGCATACACTGCCTTTAATCTGTAGAAACCGTACTCGGTAAAGCATAACTACTTAAATAGCATGCATCCTCATCGAAGGTAGGGAAAGCTCGTTTGACAAGATAAAGGACTGACATCGTGGACTTGGCAACCTTGGAGCAGTGGAGCGACGGTTTAAGAGAAGTCGTGACCCACACACCCAAGTCTTTCTGCGCGTCTACCTCCTGCGATGGTACATCATTTAGGTGGCAAACCCTCCGGCTGAGAGATCGGGTCCCACCGACTCGCAGAACATTAAACGGCAAAAAGCCAGTCTTGTTACCAGTTCTCGAGTCGGGTCAGGTCTGCCCGCAGGCGCCCTTCGTCAAATTCAGTTCGCATGACGCTCCAAAGTTTAACGTCATCAGCGAACATGGCGACACCACAATTCGATTCACTGACGCAATCGTTGACATACATAATGAATAGGGTAGGGTCAAGGATGGAGTTTCGGGGAACACCGCTTTCAACCGCTACCTCCACCGACTGTCTGTCACCGACGCGGGCAATTTAAGAGCGGCCGATCAAGAAACTTTGGATCCACCTCAGGGGATTGCCTCTAATGTCTGTCCGGCCTAATTTGGACAGGAGACGCTGATGTGGTACACTGTCAAATGCTTTCTTAAAGTCGACGTAGACTTCGTGCACCGCATTGCCGCCTTCAACTGTCCGGTTTAGGCGTTCTAAACAATAAGGTAGATTTGTCACGCATGATCTGCCTACACGAAATCCGTGCTAGGCATCGCATAGCAGATTATGCTCTTCTGGGAAGCGCATTATTTCTCGCTTAATTATTTTTCCTTAATTTTGCAGCAAACTGAAGTAATGTTGATTGGTCTGTAGTCGTTTGCTAAGAGCTTGCTGTCACCTTTATAAAGCGGCGTGATCCGTGCATATTTCCGATCGGCGGGCAAATAGCCTGCTTCTAACGAAGCTAGGAAGAGCATGGACAGCAATTTAGACAGTTCACCAGCGAGCACCTCCAACAATTTGAGCGGTATATCAGCCGGCCCGGGTGATTTATATTCATCCTGCGTCAACAGTTCTTTGCGAACAATAGCTTTGTGAAAGAGACAACCTCAATCGTTGGTCGGTCCACTATGTCGCAGTCGGGAGGAATAAATGCGCTTTCCCTCCTAAAGATGGACTTCAAAAACTGCGAAAGGTAGCTCTGCCTTTTCTCCGTCTTCACTCAGCTCAAGGTCTTCACTAGTTTTCAATAGTGGGATAGGATCTCTGTTTCGTGTGATCCTTCTTGTATAACCATAGAATAACTTCGGATTTTTTGCGGCGCGATTCAGTAGGACTTTCTCGAAAGTACGCAACGTCCCGAGGATTAGTTTCTTAGCTAGGTCCCTCTGTGCCTTGTATGCACTTACCGACACAGAGCTCCTATCCAAAAATAACTTTCTCCATAACCTCCACTTTTTATTCACTTCTTTTTTAAACTTGAGTTAGCCAGGGAGGTCTGCTGTTCAGTTTCTTCCGTGAACTAGGACAGAGGTCTTTGAGATGAACGTGCAATAACTCACTAAACTAGTCCCAATCCTTGATTATGCCTGACGTTTAGGATTCTCACTCGAATCCATTATCAGAGACAGAGTCAGATAAGGTTGGTGGATAGCCCAGGTGTTGCAGTATTTATAGGATGTAGTCGCTAGGCCACTACATGCCTAAAAACCAAAGTATTCAGGAAGGCGACAAACACGACGCAAGTACTGACCTATAACTGCAACCACCCAGTCAGTCACAAACGCAGTTACGTAAGGACACTCTGCCAGCTTGTGGAGACACATTGCAGTGAACTGGAGGACATGGTTAATGAATTAAAATACCTTCGACGGGCGTTCAAAGACAATGGCTATCCACGCAACTTCGCCAGCGAGTGCCTGCGCAAACGAGACGAGAGACGGAACCCAACCAGTCCCAAATTTTCATGAGTTCTTCCGTACGTGAAAATTGTGTCAGCAGCTGTCAGCTGTCTTCACACACCTTTTAGACTTGGAGTAGCACACAGACCAAAGGCAACCATAAGACGCCAGATCATGAGGAAAATGATCAATTGATACGGCGAGAAACATCTGGAGTCGTTTACCGTGTCCGGTGCAACTGTGGGCAAAGCAACTATGTCGGAGAAACCGGAAGACCACTGCGGACGCGGATGGCCGAACACGCAGCAGCCGTGAGGAGGAAAGACGCCAGCTTCTGAGCTGCGGTTCACTCGACGGGACCCAAACACACATTCAAGTTTGACGATGCAAAGGTCCACATGGATGACAAAATCCGGGCGTCGGCAACTCGAATGCGTGTGATGAGCGCGGGGATCGATAATCTTGACCGACACACGAGGGCATAGCAACTGCACGGCAATTGCATGCTCCAACACCTGACCAGCCGAGCCGTGTTGCACTCGTGAGCTGCCAATTACTACAGGCATATAGCGGTCAAGTAACTACGGCCTATAAATACTGCAACACCCGGGCAATTTACTACCCTTATCTGACTCTGATGATGGACTCGAGTGAGAATCCGAAACGTTAGGCTAATAAAGCTCTTGTTCCAGCGATCGTGTCTCCTTTTCCGCAACTGTGATAATTATAAACCTGTTACTACTTTGATCTCAATAATACATTTTGTCTACATGGACTTTAGTGCTGCTAGACGTACTGCGTATAAATGCAGCCAGTACGTTGTTCATTGTTACTTAGCATATTTGCCAGCTTTTTAGCACTCCTATTTCGCTTTTAGATATACATTTTGCATGCTAAATAACCCGGAAATATTTGCAATTTAACTACTCTTCATGCAGACTTGCATTTTTATTAAAATGGAGTCTTCAAGGACTCCTGACATTTACTCCAAATACATTGATTTGATTCTGGTCAAAGGCTAAGGAAGGTGAGTTGGCAGGTGAACTGCACATTAGGACTATATAAACGTTCTCCGGGTAGCCCTGAGCGGTTCTTCTGTGTCAGTAAGTTGATAAGGTGCGCCACTGGTGTGTTGCCGACTCCCTCAGCTGGTTCGCTGGAGCAAGGTTCAAAGCAACTAGTCAGACAACTGCGCGGACGTGAGAGGCCGGCCGAGGTTTAACATGGAACGAGATCCGGAGATCGAACGAACAGAGGTGTGTTCTTACCTGTAAGGAATTGCGAGTTATAAGCGCACGCTTTTGGTTTCGTGTGATCAACTTAGACACCTCGCTGCCGATCTATGTCCAGCCGACATTACTCCTTGTCACCACCGCTCGCAGCAATTAAATGCTAGTAGTTATGCAATACCAGTCCATAGAAATGAACACAGGGAGGGGTAGACCACTCCAACTTCTGTGGATTGTGAAACTCACACATCACCGGTTGGAATACATGGCGGGTTCGAAGCGTCTACTACAACTGTCAATCCTCAAACTGTGGCCGACGTCTGCGCAACCATTGGCAATTGTTGCCTACTCGGCTACAACATCAAAAACGACCTTCTATCAAATCTCCGAGCATAAGGTAACACCGACCACCTATCCTCGAAAAACTGCAAGCAAACGCCAGTGAAGATGACATCAAAAGCGCCGCGGGCGGAAACCAAAATCTGACTCGTCCTGGCCTAGACTGCGTTGCATTCTGTTGTTAGCCTTCATGACGATAGTGACAAGCCTGGATAGTCATACGAGGTAGAAAGGTTTTACCGAAAATTGCGCGAAAAAAAGTTGACGGGCTTCCATAAAAAAAGACAGGAAATGAAGGAGGGTCGGAAAAGTAGGCTTCGCAGCGCCTGGACTAGTTATCTTCCATTTTCCATGCATCGAATCCGCCAGAAAGTACGAATGCTCTGAAAAGGCCGATGACGGAATATCAAACAAACTTCTCAATGCCGAATTCCTTGGAGATAATGAGCGCCTTCATGCTTCGAATACCCGCCTTGCAAATAAAAACAGGAGGCGTTGTGCTGAGCCTGCGTCGAGCAAATCCATACTTTTTGCAAAAGCTGTCGTCCGTCAAATCAAGAGCATCTCTAAACGTTTCAACTGCGAAGCGCAAGTGAGGTATAGTGAATGCTGCCTACAAGGAATGTTTACAGAACCCTCAATTCGTCCGTTTCGCTGAATCTCTTCTGGAGTTCTAACGTCAATGAGTATGACCTCGCCTCGCCTAACCATCTTTTTCAGGTCAGATGGTGAAACGCCATATGACTGCACTGAAGTGTGCGCTGGCCGTAAGCTCACTATGGGAGCGTGAATTGACGAAATCCGCCAATTCTGTGGTGTGTGGAGCATGCAAGAATTTGGAGAAGCAGGAGGTTTTTTCTGAAAAGGGACCTTACAGCCGGAAGTAAGGAAGATTGGAGATCGGCGTAAGAAAGAGAACGTGTTTCTCATCACAAAGTGGTAGTATGCAAACAGTCGAGGGCTCCTTGAACCTGTACGACGATGCCCGCGCGGAGACGATCACAATATTCTGCCACCTAAAACAGAGAACGGTGAAAGTCGTCAGTAGACTAGTCTACGCCATCTCCCAAAGTCGGGGAAAAGGATTTGGGGTTTGCTTGATCCTCTATTCAGTTTATCCACCTTTCAGCCCGCTTTCAGAATGTTGAATAGGTGAGTGCAAAGTGGAAAAGTCTGATTGGTACTCTACACAGTTCTCTGGGACTGCTGTTCTTTTCTAAGCAAACGAACATCCATCCCCCAAAGTTGTTCATGGACTCTTTGCGAAAGCTCGATCGACACAGTGTCATAGTGGGTGGAATGTTGGTACAGTCTACTCAGAATGTCGGACCGCACGGGGCAAGCTCCGACAGAAATCGGATGCAAGAGCGGGAAGGGAGAGACAGTCATGGCGAAACGCCTCGTCAAACTCGAGGGTGTGGCCAGGTCCCGTCGAACGAGCCCCGACCTGAAAGTCAACGTCATTCCTCCTGATTGCTGCTGCATGTGCCGCCACCCGCGTTTGGGGGCAATCTCCCACTTTCTTCGATGTAGTTGCCTTATCTGTAACTGCGCCGGGTCCGGTAAACGACTTCAGAGGACGGGTGGGCAGTGTTGGCACTGTAGTGGGTCTAATAGTGCCCAGTAGGGTAAATGCCATATATCGCTACTCGGTTCCACCTACAAACTCAACGGAGTCGCCGGTTTCGGGGTGCAATATGTCCCAGTGGTATTTTTGTGCCTCCATTGCATGGAAGTCTTCATGGTCCGTGATTCAAACTAATCTCGCAAATCTGAATAAGGCTGTTTAGTTCATCGCAATGGCAGATCCGCTACCCCATGAGATGGAATGCCCTCAGAGGTCTGTATGTCTTGCATCGGCAGTCTGGCGCCCAGGCTCCATGAGGTGTAGGTACAAAATCGCTTCTGACGACTAGGACTCGGTCGTCTTTACGCGTGTGTTCAAGAAAAGTGATGTTTTAAAAAATAACGCACGTCTCATCGACGCTGCCGCAAAGGTCTCTGTCATCGTCATTTTCAGACGGCTCCAGGATGTGCGTGACTCTAACAAAACTCACTGCTCGAGGACCATCCTCCAGGTGATTAACATCGACTTCAACTCAAATGAGATATTCAGCACTCGATGTGATAACATCACACGAATAACCCGGGCCATCCTAGACAGACGACTGAGGCTATCTGGACACGTTATTCGTCGTCCACCTCAGGAGCTCAGTGTTACTGACCTCATTCCGGCACCGTTACCCCGATGGAGGCGTCGAAGACGGGGTCAACTCAAAACCTTGTTCGACACAGTTCATCGAGACATGAAAGTGGTTCTTAGACCTTCAGTATTCAGCCTCCTTTGTTGGCTAAGGGAATGGGTTAGGCTGTCCAGATCTGCAGCCGCAGATCGTCGCGCGTGGGGAGGTACAGATCGGGATATCGTCGAGGCCGGCCAAATTAGGCATGATTGCAGCCGTACCAAGTACAAGTAAGCACAAGAGGTCGGTAAATCGGGCGTTTTAATCATAAATGAAGGAGAATCAAGTGTTTTGGAGTTGTATTTCTGACCAGGTGAAGACACCCCTCGGAATTACTGTTTAGCAGCTTGAAGAATTCAACAGGTTCAAACACCTTGGAGAATAGTGCTGTCAAATGAACAGAGTGGAAGCGAAATCATCGCCGAATCGACACTGCTTAAGGGGTCTCGTCAAGTCTCAGAAGGTGCCTATTTATCCGTAGCGATATCTTCATTACCACAATGGTCTGCACGTACCTGACATCTATCCAATCCGACCCCATCTATGGTTGCTAATGTTGGGCTGTACGCGTGAAGGACAAGCTAGAAACGAACATACGTGGCCAATATCGCCCGAAAAGACACCTTCAGGTGAGGTACACTGACGACAAAATGGGACACAATCCTGAACACCGACCTTAGGGGAAAATTATGCTGCATTAACTTTCACTAGCAAAAACACGGCATCGATAAGAAGTTCCGTTTATGCCAAAATAAAATTAAAGACGGTTTCATTAAAATGAGGCAGCCACTTCAAGTCGACCAATTTGGCGCGACTGTCGGAGTTACACACAAAGTACAGAGCCTGATAATGCTGTATTTTCCGATCGCCATGTTGGGCATCGGCCAACCGGCCAAGTACTTCGCGGTTCCTGGAAAACTGTTTTCGTCCTACGAACTCGATGGTCTCACAAGCTATTGAGCTTAACACCCCGCGATTTATTGTACGTCGCGGCCCGGTCATCCTTGTTCTCAAAGATTCTCATAGATAACTGTATCGTGTAGGCCATGCGGACCGAAGCGGCCGTCTGACGCTTCCGGTGGCATCAGCTCCGCTAGCAGTTGCTCGCATTATCTAACATGCGTTCCATCCCTCAATGTAGAGTATGACTGTAGTCGATGCCTGCAGTGTTTCCACGACTATTCACATCTACTGACAACCGACTATTTCGCAATACGTGGGGATACTGTTCTAACTGTTCTTGGGCCACTACTGAATCACTCAATGAATGGATTTTCCTATTCGAAATTCTCATCCTTCTCTATCCTTACTGCGGGGCAAAGTTTGATAGGAGTCCAGTCCGCGACATTGTTGACCTATTACTAATTCATAGGACGCGGACAGCACCGTCGCACCCAAAGGGAGTGATCGGATAGTGTGCAAATCTAACTATCATCAATTTCCTGAACGCATTTAACGACCATAATCCACACAACTGCACATCCTATTGGCGTATGCCCTTGTGGCCTTAAGAGTTAAAATACGCAGAACGGCGAGTTACACTCCTCCGTTCCAAACTTTCTGCAACTTATCATCTCCCTCCTCTGTCATTCGGTATTTGCCTCCGAGACAAGCTCCATATGGAACTGCGACTTCTGCGATTCAAGCATTATTTGGCACGCATCTATCAAGGAGCCTCTCATGGTCTCTAGAAGAACCAAATTAAACGGTTGTGCATATGGCTCACCATACAAATGCGGGCTGCTATCATGCCAAAAATCGGCGCCGTCCGTAGAAATTCCGTCGGAATTATTCTGCCGCTAGGAGAGACTCGTCGTTGCCACTAACGTTATACTGACAACCGGGATACCTAGAGGTCGCGCCCTTACGGCACATTATAACGAGATTCAAACGCATAGTGGTTATCTCACTCATTCCAGGGTAGACCTCCTCCCCGTTTTGCAACAACATCTCGTTCCTCAGGCCTCAACCGAAGTGACAATCAGTGGAACCCCAGACCCAAAAACCCGCGGTTATACGGGCAGGGCTACGCGCATCGGAGTCAAGCGTGCGTCCGCGACAGGATCTCTGTGGGTCGATAAAATAGATTGCATAAATCAGCCTTGAAGATGGCGCGCTCTCTACCATATACCTGCTCTGAGTCCACTTTCCAGTCAGGTTATAAACGTAATACTCGGAAACCCTCTGCGTCTGGAAGCCTGTGGAGAACGACTAGCATCGTGCGCGACCGACGAATGAATCAGAAACACCTGGTGACCACAGAAGAGGAAATTAATTGTAACGAAACTAGGGACATGACCACGGAAGAGGTAAAATTAGGTCCGATTCATGGCCAAAGGTAAGGCAATGCATGTGTTGTGAATAGGGATATTTTCGGCTTAGTCCCCCTTAAAAATTATCTGTTTCGAACAAAGGATATGATGCGTCAGATCACACACCAGTATAACAAATAGAACGGAGAACTGATCCGCCTAATCGGTTTGTTGCCTTCGACTATGTTTGTTTTTACCACACGAGTTTCACCTTATGAAAACCTCAATCAGCGATACTCAAGATTTCATGTTCACTTTGTTGTGCACTTCTCGAGATTTCTATATTTCGTTAGTTGCTGTACTTTCTATTGGTCTTAGTAACCACGGTATCGTGTGTCCCTTCCGTCGGTGTTTTGGCTGTAATGCTCGGTTTCATTTATTCTCCGCATATGAGGAAACGGTATTTAATGGACTGGTTCCAGTTCTCTGAACGATAAGAAATATCCTATCAGGAAATAAACTGGACGAAAATCTTTTTTATAAATGGGAACTTATTAAAATGTCAGAATGACTAAAAGAGAGATGAACACAATCCACATCCTCTCTCAATGGCTCAGATACAAAATCATACGTAACGTTTTTCGAATATTCACCTTTAAAGCAACATATTTCACAGCCGTAATAGGCGTTTACACTCTTAATCTGCTTGGTAAAGCCGCCTGCTGGAGCATCGCATATGACAGCTGTTAAGCGGAATTGCAGGGTTTGTCAGTCACACTGACACGCAGACCTTACTTGGATAATGATGATAACTTCTCCATCAACGGTTTGCTGAATGCTTGAATGTCCGACGGTTTGCCTGCATCACAATCCATTCCTACAATAAATGCTACGTTGACATTGGCCTCCATCAGCCTACCTAAAATAGGCTCAAACTCTCGCTCACTCTTCTTGTGAATAGGAACACCATCGATAGCTAGACATACAACTGTCCCACCCAGTTGACATTGCTGAAAGGGGTGATGTAACTGGTCAGTCAGCTGTCTTATCATGCCTTAACGAGCATGCCCACCGCTGTCAATGGCCGTAACCGGTGTAGATTTGTTTGCGCTTCCAAGTAATGTGCGCGGCCGACGGGAGCTCGGGGTGGAAGGGCTTGGGAATCTTCAGCAGACAATTTACATTAATGTGGGCCGTTTGTGAGCGTACGGACCACTTGCCCAAGGACTAAAGCAGCGTGGGTTCGCCTTCTGCTATCTGCTGCTTCAATAGACTCTATGTTGGTTGAGGTGTTGTTTATTTCGAACGCTGATCAATAATCGTTATAGTGGGAAGAAGGCGAGTCGGTATATGATTTTTGGGCTGTCACACGATGTTTATGACGATTATGCGTCCGTGGCACTATTCGCCTCACTTTTCGCTAATATTTCTTAAGATTTCGTTGGCTTTCCGTCGTGCATTATGTTTGTGTGTGAGGCTTCCTACACACTAAAACATAACAGAAAGAAAAAAGGGCAGTTACGCAGCGGAAGAGAAAAGGACAGAAAGAATGTTGACCAGACAAAGCGTTCGCATGCTACGTGGGAGAACAGGAAGCTGTCCAATTCAATTCAATTCAATTCAATTATTTTTATTAAAGACCCGTCGGGGTCCCATCAAAGCAAATAAAAAAATTAACATGCGAATTTTAGACGAGGTAGGCAAAATCTGTACAAAGTGCAATACATAGTTTTTGAGATTAGAAGTCCGTTAAGCAAAATGAAAAACGAGGGGTGAAAAAAATTCCATAGCAAAATTTAAAAATGATTGTATTTATTTAACAGGAGAAAAAAAACCCTCAAAAAAATAGCTTCAGAAAAATGCAGGGAGGACTGGCCTGCATGTAGCGGTATAGAATGGAATATAGTCGGACATCAACATGGCCGAAATAAATGTCCATCCGAGCATGGGGGAAGGGAGATGCGACCAGACTACTAGTATATGGCAAATATAGAAGGCTTTATCAAGATCGCCGATGGAGCGCATTCTGTAAGGGCACGATGAAAAGCAGTCTCGAGGCGATAGGAACCGAGATGCGGTTGGTTGCATTCATCCGAGTCCAACCGAGGATGGGGTAAGGGAGATTCGACCAGACTACTAGTATATGGCGAATACAGAAGGTTTCGCCAAGAGCATCGATGGTGAGCAGTCTGTGAGGGCACGATGCATGAACTGAAAAATTGGAATAATTAACATTTCTGGTGAGGGATCTTAGGTAGCTAGACTACTCATATAGGAAGGAAACGTGAACAGATACGGAAATTTAATGGCGGCATGCTAAATACCCGGTGGCCCTTTCTCAGTGTCATAGAAAAAGTTGTCTGGGAAGGATGAGGAAAATAAAAGTTTAATGGAGTCAGTATTCAGATAAAGGCGTTGCCTTCTCTTAAAGGTGTGCAGATTTTCTGAAGATCTTATATTTATTGGAAGGTTATTCCAGAGGAAAGTATATCTGGAAGCGAAAAAAGGGGACGCTTAGAGGTGAAGGACGCTGGAGGAGGTATAATCAAGGACGAGCTGCGAAGATTGTATGGGCGACTACTAGGGGTGAGTGCTGGAATCCGAGGAAAATTTGAACTATGATTAATGCGAAAGAGGAGGCAGCAGCCCGCTTCTAGTCTTCGAACACATAAAAATTTTAGGTTAATTAGCTGGCATCTATCTGAGTAGGAGATATTGGGATGTTCCTTATCTAAAGGTTTTTTAGAAAAACGTCTTTGGACATTTTCAATTCTTTAGCGACTAGCTTCATTCATCCAACCAAAGAATGGGCAACAATACTCGAGACTGGGAAGTACAAACATACGATAGAGTCTTAATTTAATTTCATCAAGATAGCAATTGTAAGAAACAAAGCCATAAATCTGGGCAGCTTTGGCTGTAATTCTGTTAGCGTGTGGCGACAGATCAAGATTACTAGTGTAGCTTAAACCTAAATCCTTGATGGTGGTACATTCAGTCATAGGTGTGCCTTGAAAGACCACTGGTTGGGATAGCCTATCAGGTCTTAAGCACATATAGCGACATTTAGACGGAGAGAATTCCATTAGCCATTTTGAGCTCCAAGCTGAGAGAGCAAGCAAGTCAGCATGGATTTGCTCCAGGCAATGAAGGCTCGTAGAGTTTTTGAAAGAATATACACATTTGAGATCATCGGCATAAATAAATAGGTCAGTATAGGTCAGTATATTTTAAGAGTAATAGGCAATGCCTTTGAAAACCCAATTGTAAACTGTACATGCAATATTTCACTTTCAATAAATATGGTACTGAAATGTTGTCAGTAATATATGCATCTAACATAATATTTTCCGTGAAAATCTAGAACCAAAACTTGAGAACAGATGATTTCAGTAAAATGTTATGAAAGTCATCCGCATCAGCGGTATGAGTATGCAAGGCTTTGGTTTAGCACCACAGATCTGTTCTGTCCAGACAATCGGTAGGTTCCAAGCAAATATGCATCGAGTCTTTGCTTGAACGTCTCCGTGATATCCGCCATTATTACGTCCTCGGGAAGCCCGTCCCAGGCACCGACGACTCGCTGTGAAAAACAGTATTTGCGAACATCCAGGCGGCACCGGGATCCTCTAAGTTTTAGAGAGTTCCCGCGCAGGTTTGTTGTTGCGGCCAGGGTGAAGAAATCGTCGGGGTTTAGGGCACATTCCCGGTTCCTCAATATCCGATAGGCCTGTATGAGATCCCCTCGAACCTGCCTGTACTCAAGAGGAAAAAGTTTAAGTTCCCTAAGTCGGCAGTTGTAAGGTAAAGTCCTGAGGCCTTTTACAATTTTCGGTGCTCTCCTCTTAACTCTTTCGGGCAACTTATAGTCTTTATTTAGCCACGGGCGCCACGCTTGGATTCCATATTCCAAATGCGAACGAATGAACGCTCCGTATACTTTTCCAAATAACTCTTTGTCTATGTCCACGAAAGATCGTTTAATGGCAAAGAGAACACTATTTGCTCTTTTGGACGCCCTAATGCACTGAGATGAAGGCTTAAGGGTCGACAAAATGTTAAACCCAAGATCTTTTTGTTCGATTACATTTGAGAGGCACCTTCCACCAAGTTGGTAATGGTGATCCTCTCCGTCAGCTCTTCCAGTCGTTTTGAGTCGCAGCGCGACGCACTTCTCAAGGTTAAACTTTAGCAGCCATTTGTCCGACCATTCGCATAGGCGGTTCAGTCCTTCTTGCAGGGCCCGTTCATCATGTTCGCCGTTGATCGCTCGCCATAACTTGATGTCATCAGCAAACATGACTCCATTGCAGTCCAGTCCATTCATACAGTCGTTGACATAAATTAAAAATAGTACTGGTCCGAGTATGGAGCCCTGCGGAACTCCACTCGCAACTGGCATTGGCGTTGACTTCGTATTACCAATACACACAGACTGTGATCGACCAGTCAGAAAGTCCTTTATCCAGTTTAATAGGTTTCCTCTTATCCCTGATTCTCGGACCTTGTAAATTAACCGGTGGTGTGGAACACTATCAAAGGCTTTCTTGAAATCTATGTACACGATATCGACCTTTGTTCCTGCGTCTAACGAGCGAGACCACTGTTCCGTTGAATGAAGCATATTAGTTAGGCAGGAGTGATTTCTTCGAAAGCCATGCTGAGAACTAGCAAAGAAATTATTTTCTTCAAGGAACTCCATTATGGATTTTTTGACTATTCTCTCCATGACTTTGCAACAAATGCACGTTAGGCTCACCGGCCGATAATTGTTTGTACTTGTTCTGGATCCCCCCTTGTGAATGGGGTATATGTTGGCCACTTTCCAATCAGAGGGGAGAATGCCTCGGTCAAAGGAGGACCTAAAGATGTGCCAAAGCGGTTTGGCGAGTTCGCAAGCCAACGCATTCAGGACTTTTGCCGGAATTTGGTCTGGGCCCGGAGACTTGCCCTCCTGAAGCGCTAGAAGTTCCTTCCTTACATCTTCTTCCGTGAAGTCGATATTTTCTATTATTTCGTCGGTTGCCCCAGCAGGAGATCCAGCCTCGTCAAAGTCCGTTTCATCAGTGAAAACCGATACGAAAAACCGGTTTAGATGTTCTGCCTTAGCGTCATTTTCGATGATATCCTCATCGTTTTCTCCTTTCAACACTGCGACCGTCTCCTTGTTCTTTAACTTACTGTTTATGTAGCTGAAGAGCACTTTTGGCTTATCGACGGCCCGTTCCATAACTCGCATTTCATACTCCTTCCGCGACCTGCGGGTAGCCCCCCTTACCTCGTTTCGCTTTCGACGAAATTGCTCGTAATGGGATGGTTGTTTTGTTGTTGCATACCTTCGCCATAGTTTGTTCTTCCGGTTTACTTCTTTCTTTATATCCCGCGTTATCCAGGCAGGACGATTATTCTTTTTGACTCTTTTTGTCGGACAGTTTTGATGCATGATGTCTGTTACAACTCCTTTGAGATTGACCCAATCAACGTCTGGATGTCCGGAAAGAAAGTCAATTCAGTCCACTACCGATAATTCCCTTCTCATGGCGGCAAAATCTCCTCGCCAGAAATTCAGTCTAGGCTCAGTCGTATTCGCTTGTTGGCTGCATAGGCGGTATTCCCAAAGCAGCATGACATGGTCACTCTTACCGAGCGGTGTTATGGACCTAAGTTCGCCAGGGATAATCGGGTCTTTTGTAAGGACGAGGTCCAGACAATTCGCTCTTTGGTCCTCTCTGATTCTGGTTGGGAACGCGACGTTTTGTACCAGAAAGAGATTAGCCGTTAGCTTCAAGAGCCTGGAATCGAAGGAATTTCGCGAGCCATTTACTAACAAATTGTTCCAGTCGACCATGGGTGCGTTGAAATCTCCGGTTATCAGTACCTCTTGGTTTTGTGACACCTCTTTAATTAGCCCAAACATCGCATCGTCAACCTCATCAGTTTGATTGGGCGGCCTGTATACGGTCAGGAAATTCAAATTGGGTGCGCCACGCATCCTCAGTTTTAACCACATTGCTTCACAGTCGCCGGAGCAATCGGTTTTGTGTTCCGACGCGATGATTCCTCTCTTGATGTAGACCGCTATTCCTCCTCCTTTTCTATGCAGTCTGTCCCGGCGAAAAAGTTGGTATCCCTCAAGTTTGATTTTGGCATCCAAGACTTCGGTCTGGAACCAAGTCTCTGTGGTAGAAATGACATCCGGCTGCGTATCTATTATCCATACTTTCAGCTCATCTAGCTTATGAAACAAACTCTGAGCATTTGCATAAAGAAAGCGGAGCTTAGACCGGGCAGATTCCCGAACGATTCTTGGGCCGAAGTTGCTGGATACTTCGCGCGGGTTTTCGGGTCTATCGTCCTCTTCCGAGTCTACCGCTGTTTGATTGGACTGGATGTTAGTGTGTTGTCCGTCGTTTTCTCTGATCGGTTCGTCAGATAGGGGCGTTCTTTCCTTATTATCTGGTTGTTCATTATGCTCAGTGTAATTGGTTGTTTCCTGAGGAATGAGCTCCGAACATTTACGATTTTGCCATTCATTATTCTTAGGTTTTTCTCGCCGGAATTGTATCTTCTGAGGAGTTCGGCCTTGAGTTCCCTCCATTTCCCCCATTCGGCCGGTGAGAAATCCCGCTGAAAAAAAATTGTTGGGTGGGCATTTCGCAATGCTGGTTTCCTATTCAGCAGAAATAGTGCTTGTTCCTCACTTTCGAGAATGATTTTTAATGGTCTGTGATGGCCCGACTCGCCCTCTAAATCCTTAATCGGTCCTATCCTGAAAGCTTTCAATATGGTGATGTTTTCGTTCTCTTGTAATAGGGATTTGAGGTATTGCTGGAATAATTCTATATCGTGGCTTATTCTGTTCTTTGGGATGTCTGAAGAAGACTCAGGCATACCCTTTACGATGATGCATTTATTGCGATCAATAGGGCGCTGTCGTTTGTTTTTATACGCACAGTTGACATCGCGAAAGTTTTTGTTGTCATCAATTTCCCCTTCAGAGACAGTTGTCATGGTATAGCTACCGCAGGGTTCCTCGTTTATCGAGGCTTCCTGGTCATGTGGTACCTCTTGCGTCAGTGAGGCATCTTTTCTTCTGTGTGGACTCTGCTCTCCACTGCTGGTGCTCTGACATACTTGGTCTTTTTGGGATGCTTTGAGACGTCTCCTGGTTTTTTGTGATGCCCTTCGGTTATTTTGCGCTCGCACATGAGATAGGGTCTCGATTGCAATGGGGTCCGTAGACGGGCTGTCTTCTTTTTCAGGGGCTAATACAGTTTCTGAAGTCGTATTGGCCGTTTTTGCGGTCATCTTCTGAACTTGCCACATCGCCATCTTTCTCCTTTCGGGTAAATAGTGAGGCAGTTTCATCAGCTTCTCCATCTCAAATCTTAAATTCCTTATATCCTTCTCCATCTCCAAGATTTTCTGAAGAAGTCTAGAACATGACGTGCAGGTTTCGTCCTCGCATTTAACATCCAATAAAGTTATTAGACTCCTTGCGCGTTTGGCGGGAGTTGATTTGACAGCCGAAGACTTATCGCAATAGTCCTTTGCACAGCGACTTTCTGTAATTTTATTATTTTTATCAAGCCGTCTGCTGCGCGTTAATGGCGTAGTGGTAGCGACTATGTCACTATCATTATTGTGCCCGGGTTCGCATCCGTCCCTACGCAGCTTTTTCGCCCAATATTTGGAGGATCCTGAATCGACTGCCATTATGAAGTCAATAAACTTAAAACGTTTTCGACGGTATGGAAACGATTTAAAGCGAGACCAACGGTATGATGTAAATAGAAAACGACTCAGCCTTTATTGCATTTCGGGAATATGGCGGTGCGGCTGTCAGATGTGGTCGGAAGGAGACAGGTTTTCCGGACGAAACTCCCGTCGAAATTCTGTGAGGATCGAGATATTTCTATGAAGAAGCGACTTGTTAGTTCTGAGAGGCCGTCAGGGTGTCAAGGACTCAGGAGACTCGAAAAAGTTAAATCCCTCGGAGATCGAAAATTTCGAACCGAATTCAATGATTGAACTGCTGCTGAAATATCATTTTTCAAAGCAAGTACAAAAGAGGACCTAAAACGGTACCTTGTAGGACACCGCTTACAATAGGATTTTCACTTGAAAGTGAAGATCCCACCAAAACCTTTTGTTTACGATTAGACAGGTATGACCTGAGAAAGTCTATTAGTGGACTGCGAATTTCCATAGCTTCCAATTTAATCAAGAGTCTTCTATGTGGTACTTTATGAAAGGCTTTACTAAGATCAAAATAAATAACGACAACAGTTAGGTGATCATTACGAAGAGAGGTAAGTAGATTGAGAAACGACAGATGACATGTTTCACAAGAGCGATCTGGTAAAAAACCATGCTGGGAAGGGCTAAGAACTTGATTGGCTATGCAAAATTCGGTAATTTTTAGGGCGATAATTTTTTCAAAGATTTTGGCGAGGGAGGGTGTTTAATGGACACCTCGATATTTCTGCACGTCAGAACGACAGCCAGACTAAAATACTGGAATAATAAAAGAACCTTTCCAATAGTCAGAGAAGAAGCCATTTACGAGAAATACTGAAAAGATTTTGCTAAGCAGAGGAGGAAAATCTATTAGCTGTTTGATCAAAGAGTTTGGGATATTGTCTGTACCTACTGAGTGAGAGTTAGGAAGATAGCTTATCAGTTTTTGAATACATTCAGGAGAAAAATTAATGACGCTAAGAGAAGCATCAGACAACGAAGGAATTAAAGCGATCGGATCAGTTTCAATGGTGAAATGTTTGGCAAAGAACGAATTTAAAATTTCAGCTTTGCCTGACTCCTCAGTAATGAAGGCATCGCTAGCACTAAACGACGGCGGAATGACTTGGTGGGACTTAGCAGATGATCTCTGATGGAAGATCTGAGCAACTGATTTAGAAGCATTCACGTCATTTATAGCTAAAGACTCTCTACGCCTATTTCGCTCGAGCCTCATTTTCGAAGCTAGTTCAAATATTTCAACGATTCCTAGATGAACTGATAATGAGCTCACAGAAGGATCTTTAAATCGCTTCCGTAGCTTTTTAAGTCTGTTTTTAAGAAAGTGTGGGATAACGGTGGAATTAGCACTCGATTTGAACATCTTCCGAGGAATAAGGTCAAGAAGACTTTCTGTTAGGCATTGTAATAAATTGTTGAAAAAATTTAGATCATTATTTGAAAAAATATTGTGCCAATCAAGAGTGCATGTAAAGTTATTTACTAATACCTTGTTAACCTTAGCAAAGTCAAAAATACTACGTTGAACTGTTGGCTTTGAGGAAATGGCAACTGGAAGGCGACAATGGATTAATGCATGATCACTTGCAAAGAGGTCGTGATAGAAATCCATAGATAAAGGGCAGGTGTCATTAGTAAAAATTAAGTCTAAAATACTATTGTTTCTGGTCGAAGAGTGAACTAATTGAGTCAGGTTTGAAAAGTAAATTGTGTCAAGCAGCTTCTGGAATTTAGGAGGAGGACTATGTGTGTGTCAGTCAATTTCTGGCAAATTAAAATCGCCTACGATTATCTTGACATCGAAAGAAGTTTCTGCAATTTTTTCAAAGAGTTCACAAAGTTGGCTTTCATTTCCGGAGGAACAAGGAGGATTATATACACATCCGATTAAGGCTTTCCTATTTTGAGGAAGGATTACCGAAGCAAAACATAAATTTCCAGAGAAGGAGGAAATGTTCAAGTTATAAGGCGATTGTGCAAGTGAGGATCTTATGTAAAGAAGGCATCCACCGCCGCGTCTGTCGGCACGGTCCTGGCGGTATAAACTGAGGCTATCTATATTAAGTGACGAGTCTGAAATTAGAGAGTGGGCCCAAGATTCTGTAATGCACAATATGTCTGTGTCAAACTCAACAGCTACACTTCTTAGGTGTGCCATCTTTTGCACGACAGATCTTGCGTTGAGAGAGACAATACTGAGCGTATTCCTAATATGTAGGTTCCGCTCATTGCTACTTATAAAAAAGGAAGAGCCGGAGGTGGAAAATTAAGCTGTTGGAACGAAGCAACTGGTGGAGGACAAAGTTGCTGCGGTCTAAAATTTATGGGGTAATTACTAACTAGAGATGCAGCATTAGGTAGAAAAACATTTGAGGAGGACCCGGGAATAGGAAAACTATTTTGTTGGGTTGGAAAAATAGGAGGCAAGAAAATAGGATTTTGGGAATTGTTAGCATAATATGAGGGGTA